TATCACAATATTCTAATTTTCTGAGACAGTCCTGTAGGTATGTGTGTCAGAGGAACACAGGGATTTTAGCCTTTGCAGACCATTTACATAAAAAACAATACAACACACTACAGGAAAGGAAAACCCCCCATATGCATAGGGCCCCTTCAAGAATTAATTTTGTGTTAAAGCCTACATTTAGGGCTGGCTCAGGCTTACCTTGAACCAGCCCCTAGTTTTGCTCCTGTAGGCTTGCTGTCAGGGGGAATTCAACTTATGTCCCAAAAATACATGTTGTGTCTTTCACCTAGCATTATTTAAAAAGGTGTAATGTGTGACATTGAGCTTTAGAAATAAAATGTAATTGATTTAATTTAAAGGCCTATGCACTGTAGGTATGTGTGTATTGGGCTAATCATTGGAAATCCTCAACAATATGGATAAAAAGTCAACAGTAACACACACATGCAGGTGTGTGTTACATGCAGGTGTTCCAGCATATCCATTTGGAAAAGCACTTCCAACCATCTACATCATTGCCTTAGCACACAAACATCCCCAAACAAACTGCTATGCACACAAACAAAAACATACCCCCCAACCGTACCAACGCACACACACACACCAACACACACAGCTCGTATGGTGAAAACATCTGGTTATAATTACAAACACGGCGGAAAGCCAAGCTACAGCTTTTGTTGCCTCTGGTCCTTGAAAGGCGTTGTGTGTGTGTGTGTGTGTGTGTGTGTGTGTGTGTGTGTGTGTGTGTGTGTTTGGTGTGTGTGTGTGTGTGTGTGTGTGTGTGTGTGTGTGTGTGTGTTTGTTTGTTTGGTGGAACAAGAACAAATGGGACTATTATTTAGGCAGGGGGCAGAGAGAGATTGGGCGCAGTTGTTATACTACTTTTTCATGAAGCTGAAAGTAGTTTCATTACAAAGTCAGATGCCAGTTGGGTATTGATTAGATTAGCACAATGTTGTAAAAAAAAGCTGTTAAAATAGTCTGTTACAGCAATTTTCCACTGGATAAGCGTGACTAACGTTGGCAACTTCCAAGTTATATCAGGCACACAAATTACCAATACTTAATTACACAGTGAATATTTGTAAAATGACTCAAGCATGACTTTATGAAGCAAGAAACTTACCCCTACTCCTCCGCATGGTAACCTCACAAACATGGGGCTCACTGAACCTGAGGCAGGAAGACAGAAAATGAGAATTACAAATAAAGAGCGAAAGGTCACCAGGTGAAGAGGTAACTTTCTGCACTCATGGGCACAAATACGCAAATAACCTCTGATTCTGAGCATTTGACTTTCTGACCTAATCTAACAACAAGAGTATACAGGGGCTTGCTTTAATTGGGCGAGGTGAAGGGGGAAAACAGTATGCCATTGGCCTCATAATTAAATCCTCTCAGGAGGAATCTGTTGCTGTAAAAAATGGAAAAGAGTGAACTTGTTTTGGTCTAGAGATTACAATTTTCTCTAGATGACAAAAACCTTAGTTTTTATGTCTGTTTGGAATTTTTTACTTTGTTTATAGGTTTTTAGACCAAAACAAATAACTGCATGTAATATCAAACATTAACCTAATGCCAATCCAGACAACTGGATCAGCATAGCAATAACTTTGACAAAAGATTAAGATTGAATTAAAACTGACACATTTATGACAAAAAAAAAATAGACAATTAAAAGAAAAAAGTCAGAAAAAGTAAGTAAAATACACAAGGTGTAAGCAGTGTTGGAAAAAGTATTCGGATCCTTTATAACAGTAAGTAAGTAAAAACACAAAATTATTAGCATTGAAATGTATTTCAAGTATCACAAGGGAAAGAACATTTGTATACTTATACATTGACGAGTTTGTCAATCTGGACTGCATTATACCATATCAGCATATTTGCATATGCACAAAGTAACTACCGGTAGTAAATGTGTGTTAAGTAAATATAGTGTGGTATAGTGTAGTAAAGCGTAGTGTAGTAAAAAGTATAAAGTGGAATAAAGTAAACATTTGTCAAAAAAGTACTTGAGTACAATACTTGAGTAAATTTATTTAGTTACTTTCAACACCTGGTGTAAGGACTGTTCCCCGACTATAATAGAAACCATTAAGGACACCAATAAAGAAACTAAAACCAATACAAATGTCCATCTGAAGATTAGACTTAATTAAAAAAAACTGCAGAAATTAAAACTGCAGGTAAACGTAGACGAGAGTGCAAAAGCAGCATACAAACCAATGAAAAAGCATAATTTAATTTAACTGCATTCTTGGTACACAGCTTTTTGAAGAAATGTATTAATGTAAAAATGTACCTGCTCTTATTTTCAAAACATTGAACTAATCCCAATTCAGTGTTGACAACTGGACACGTGTTACGTTTCATGAGTGAAACAGCAGACCTCTGAAGCTCTATGGTCTCAGGAAGCCACCCGCTTATTCTAAAATACGTTAGTATGTTCTAACAGTTTGCTTTTTTATACTTTCTTTTTGGTCTCCATTTTTATTTTTGGTGCGTGTGCAAACGCACCTGTTTGCTGCTGAACCTGATGCAGGATTATCTGGTATTTCTCCTGTGTAAGCAGTAATAATGAGGGGAATTTATGTCTGCGCTGGAATGAAAGCTAAGATGACCACTGGGGTTTGCCCCTTCTGCTCAAACCCACACGTATAAAGAGACTGCCTCGGCTACACCTGCACTTTGAGCCACTGAAGGCCAGACATAAGTGACAAAGCAGCCTGCGCGACTTCCAGTTAACAAGCTTCAGCAGTTCCTCGCCTTATCGTAACACCTCCAGGACTTTATTAGATCGGACCATTTGTTATGACACGGTTTAAGCATTAAAGCAGACTCCTTTTGCAGACGCTGCAGCTTCAAAGCATTCAAATTAACGATTTAGAGTAGGATTAAGTCTTCTTAAATGGACACACATGACTTAATATTGATACGTACAGTCTGCTTTGAGCAGTGTGTTTCAGCATTACAGCTTCACATTCAAGCAGAATACTTTAGATTAAGCAGGTGGTTGACAGCATGATTTGCAGTCAGATTGCCTAGAAATCTATATTGCAGCTTCTACTTCAGCTCAAAATTGTAATAAGCTTTTTTGGGATATTGTGTGTGTGTGTGTGTATATATGTGTTCTATTAAGTCTTACAGTCCAGTTTCTGCCGCAGTGGGTTGGTTCCGTACAGCAGGACGTGTGCTTCGGAGTGGACCGTCTGTAACTCCTCCAGTGAGGCCTTCCTGCCGCGGATACACTGGAGAGGCCACAGGTAGAGAAAGATCAGACAAAGAGAATCACAATCAGTATTGATTCAACTCAAATTGACAACATACACACTACTGTGTTTTGTTTTGATACTGTACGTATTTCAAAGATGCTATGTTGTTTCCGAAAAGAAAAAATAAAGTTAACAAAAATGTAATAAATAAACAAAGTGGTGAGTGACAGAGTCGGCAAAGATAACGGAAAGGAAAGAGACACAATGTTATTAGTTCAGGGTCCATGCTCCGCATTTATGAAGAAGTAGTGCAGATAGGTAGGTTCAATGGTCTCTGCATGTATACATGTATTTATGAATAACAGTAGGAAGGGAAACTGGTTAATTTTCAAGCCATAACTAAAAATGTGTAATGTTCTTTTGTAAAGTGAAGAGTCAAGCGAAGATAGCTACACACTGCCCCCATCTGGACAATATGTTAAAGACTAACTCTTGAAGAGATTTTTTTCCAACAAGGATAAAGAAACAGAACACAACAGGAGATTAAGTAGTAGAGAAACAACACTGACATAATAACAATATTGCTCATAGTGCAGAGTAAAGAACCCACAATATTTTTGAATGTAGCATCGGTATAAAACCATTAAAGTGCTTCTCCTTTTACTTTTAGTTGTGGCCTCTCAAAAATAACATTCAAGGACCGAAAAGGATAATATTCCACCTTAAAACGTTGGCAACATCTGTTTGTTTAAATCTCTTCACTGATATCATACTGTGAATCTAACGTACATATTTTCCAGGATTTCACAGGAAGATGGAGATATGAAGAGCATACTGGATACAGGAGGGCGAGATGATTTACATTAGATTGGTGTCAAGATGAAGCTTTTAAAAAGCAACTTACAGTAAACCATGAAGACACAAGTGCTACAGTACGTGCAGAAGTGTGTCTTTTTTTAAATTCATTTTATTTGCAAGGTGCAGTCCAAACAGATCCAGTTTTCCGTCTGCGATGGAGGAAGTCTTATTACTTATTTGACTCTCCGTTACTCCAGCAGAGGACAATTCAAATCTGTTCAGTTTGATCTAGAGTTTAACAAACATGATATCCTCATGCTGCACCCTGGGGCCTCACCTCGCAGTGCGCCCTGAGGCCTGTCTCCTGCAGGCGGGACCAGATGCTCTGGATGCGGCCGGCGTGCTCTGGGTGGCTGGTGGTGTTCCCGCACATACACTGGTGCTTCTGCATCAAAGAGTCGTACACCAGACCTGGAAAACACACACAGAGTAATTGTATATCTTCAACGCAACAAGATTCCTATAATCAAAGTCTTATGGTCTATTGCACCTGCTTCATCATAAACAAAAGGTCATGTTTAGATGATTCTGTACAGTAAATGACACTTATTATGGTATATATTGTCAGAATACGTAGTAACAGCCTTGTGCACACACACAGTGAGTGTATGTGTGCTCATCATGCTGTGTAGTTCCGGGAAAGGCTTTCTCTAACCTGCAATCAGCAGGATTAGAGTGTTCCTACATGGTTGTTTGCCGCTCTGCTTTATGATAGATCTCTGAGTGAGTCAGTGTCCCTTAATGAAAACCATTATGAAAATGTGCGTCAAGAAGCTTTGTTTACTAGATAAGAAGATGATGAAACTGCACTGATGTCAATGAACAATATCAGCATGCAGTATGAATGACGAAAAGAGAAGTAGTGCATTCATCAACCTGTGTGTTTCATCAGATAATAAGATCTTCTTGACATGAAATACGTTTTGACTAGATAGATGGAGCAGTTGAAAGATTAAAAAAGTACATTCAAGACACGATTCATACTAAATAAAAAGAACAGCTGACACATTTAAGATACAAATCATGTGGAATAAATGAACACTAAGGACTTTTCCTTAATTTCACTAAAACAATGAAGGCTGCAATTTCTATCCTATTTTACAAAATAATAAGGACATATCCTTGTGTCCTTTATATACAGTATCACTGTTTTGCAAAGAGCTTTAATTTAACTCAAAATGTTTTAGTAGTTGAATCTTTTGGGATAAATGTCAAGTCATTTTTATTATTTATTCTTTTTTATAAAAGAAATTGTAAAATATATTGCGTTTGGGATTCAAGGCACATGATTACGCATGTTTTCAGTGTTTTCATTGTTAATCTTATAAGGTGTGTAAAAACAAGAGTTTGAATTTAACATTTATGGACAAACTAGGTCAACATTTTTTTTTAAATAAATCTAGTGTTAAAAAAGTGAAACCTAACTCGAACCGCAGTGTGTAGGTGTAAGACCCTCATCATTTGTATTTTTCAACAGACCTGTAGTGAACCGAGGCTTGGCGGGGGGCTCCTGCACCACCATGGGGAAGGAGGCGGAGGCGGGGGACGACTGCGCCCTGGAGAGCGGGCGGTGTCCGGCGAAGCTGACCGATAATCCCGCCTTCTCCATGGAGGCCTGGTAGTCCCTCAGCTGGTGGATCCGCTGCTGCTCTAACAGCAGAGCCTGCTGCTGGCCCACACAAACACACACACACACACACACACACACACACACACACACACACACACACACACACACACACACACACACACACACACACACACACACACACACACACACACACACACACACACACACACACACACACACACACACACACACACACACACACACACACACACACACACACACACAGTCACTCACATGTTCACTGTGACTGCTGCGTTGCAATGTCTGTCTCCTGCCAGGAGATGGCACTAGATTGTCGCAAATGTCAAGCTGCTGTTATAGAATATACACATAGGATGAGTGCACAGTAACATGTTGGTGTTTTTCTGTTCTGTACAGTAATGTTGAATATTTAAAATGATAGGTCTTACAATTCTTATCTTTTGAACATGTGGTTATTATACTATTTTGAAATCTCTTGAGTGTTTTTTATTCCTGTTATTATGATACCCCTTAATACGATTTGTTTAAATATTTATATTAACTTGAATTTATTGCGAATTATTTGTTTAATTATTTGTCCTTTCTTCCAAAAAACATTTGCTCTTAGATTCAAAGCAAACTTTTTTATTTTTTTATTTATACCATATGTAAATTTTGACATACAGTAAAGATTTGTATTTGGAAAAAGCACATACAAGTCAATACATACAACTACATTTAAAAGGACTAGACTTAACAACAACAATGTTATTTATTTTCTTTAGTTGAGTTCACGTAATCATTATTCTATTTATATGATAATAAAAAGGGAGCAGCCTAGAACGAACAATGATATAATTGCATCCAACTGCCTTCAAATTGAAAAACACGTGTACTTTTATTTATGAATGATTTGACAGTATTTATTATAAGTGCCTAAAAGCTCTTCCCATCGAGTTAAATATCTGATCTTTCCACTCAAAAGAGTCTCGCCGAGCCATCCTCTCTGTTAAACCCTGATGGGCGTGTCTGCTTACACTGGGCGCCATGGCGACAGTGAGAGGAGTGCCTGATTGAATTTGGCTGAGCGGACAGCAGGGATGGGCGAGACAAATGAGGACATGGTGTCCTCCTCATGGTGGGTGTGTGTGTGTGTGTGTGTGTGTGTGTGTGTGTGTGTGTGTGTGTGTGTGTGTGTGTGTGTGTGTGTGTGTGTGTGTGTGTGTGTGGCCACAGATTGTGTGCAGTACAGAGATAGAGATGTACAAGTAGGTTTTTGTGTGTATGAAAATCAGAATTCTGAAAACATGAGAAAGTGATTGTCTACTGTATGTGGAGTGGTGCTAAAGGGAGTGCCGTGGAGGAGGAACACGAGCCCAAAGCCATTCATAAAATAATACTCCAGAAGTAACCCATGTGTAAGTACTCTCTGCGTGACTAAAAAATAAAATATGCCGGAGAGCGGGCTGGATTGACAGTCGGGGAGAAAGGCGGATCGAAAGCAAGTGTAGTGTTTCAGATAGTACTCGCTCCATCTGTCACTGCTGTCAGATTTTGCTTACAGAATAATCACCACATTTAGACAACCAGAGAAAAGATTCCCCCATTATATCTAGTTATAGTAACGTAGAACCTGAAGGAATATGTTTTACACGGTGGATTGCAGTCAAATCAATCTGCAGAAAGAAGTCTGGTCAATTCAACGTCAGACAACACCATGAAATGCGTTTTAAATATTAATTTCTATATTTGAGAAAGGCACAGACTTGTGCATTTATGATGGCTACACTGTCCCCAGAAAAGAAAAGCACAAGAGAAGGAAGGAGGTTAAAGACAGAGCTGGACAACAGAGACATGGACAGAAAACGTCAGACAGGAAGTCAACTCTAAAGGGAACACCTTGTTTGAACAGTGGTGAATGGGAAATACAATATGGAGTTATGAAGAAGAAAACAGTGCTGCGGTTATTTGCAGTTACATGGCTGTCGCATAGCTTTGTTCCTCAACAGACTATTTGTTCTTAGTGGAAGCAAAACATTCGTACTTAAATCAATGAAATCATGCATATTATTCCTGACTCAGATCGGGTTTGATGCCATGTCATAGCAGATCAGTTTTCATTCTTTTATTTTTAGTCTCCATTTAATTGCTGACACTGCCTCACAGCATTTACATATTATTCATTTCAATCTAATCTAAGAAAACTACGACTACTTCGCAGACTTTTAAAGTAAAGAGTATCCTCGTTTTGTACTATTCTTCATTATACATTGGTCCATTATAAAGTATTCTAATGTATTCTGTATATATTATCTCATGCATTCTTTAGATACCCTATAGATATACTGTGTATTGTTCTGCTGTTAATATATATATATATATATAATATATATTTTGACTCCTGTGCAATGCTATGCTACTATCCTGCTGTGATAAAACCATTTCCTAATTTAGAATCAATAAAGTATTTCTAATCTAATCTAATTTAATTTCCTTCCTTCACTCTTGTCCTGCTCTTTCCTTTCATCTCTTTATAGCGTTGTGTCTCTCTTATAGTCTTCCTCTCCTTACCTGTCGGAACATGAAGTCCTGCTCTTGGTCTCTTAGTCTCTCCCTGTTCTCTCTCTCCTCATGCTCTTGGGGGTCCTGTGGCTCCTGCTTGATGACCATCCCTCGAAGGGGCCCCATCTCCTGTGCGGACATAGGAGAGGAGGAGGAGGAGGGCGACAGGGAGAGGCCCTGGTGCTCCCTCAGCTCCTCCTCCGTCTCCTCCGGGTGGCTCTGGTGCTGACGGCCAGGCCCCGAGGCGCTGGAGCCCACCGCCGACACCTGGTCCCCGGGCTTAGACATGATCTGGAGGACGGGAGGAGGAGTTCAGTTAAGAGGTTTTACAGAGGTCGGATCTCCACTGGGACATGCACGCTTAAAGTCGAATCAGGAAAAACTATTTATTTAGCCTGTACGGGTTGGATTTGAGAGTTTTGAATATTTTGTTTCCATAACATGTCTTCTTTAAGTGGAATGCAAGATATAAACGTAGGTATTAACTGTTGCGCTCACCACTCATATCAGTGTTTCCCATACATTGATTCATTTGTGGCAGGCACAAGTAAATATCGTCCGCCACAAATAGATACAAATGTTTTTGTTGTGGTCTAATGGATAGTGAGGTGGGCTGATGATCGGAAGGTTGCGAGTTCAAATCCCGCCTGGAACACCCTCACTAGTGTGCCCTTGAGTAAGGCACTCAGTTACTCCAGGGAGAATGTCCCTGTAATTGATCATTGTAAATCGCTTTGGAATAAGGCGTCTGCTAAATGCCTAAATTGTAAATGATATTTTTGGGAGAATAAACCCCACAGATCCTCAACTCCGGTGTGTCTCACTCATTAACAACGCAGAGCAACAAGAACGTTGTCTGCTATAGCTCGCATCTATTTTTTAGAGTTAAAAATACAATTAAAAATAAAAACACTCTTTCCAGTTTCTTTGGTACATCTAGAACTAATGCATTCAAATACAACAGCGTTGCAATAAAACCTTCAAGCTCAACTGTTTTAAAGGAGAAATCGTCACAACATGAGAAATAGATTGTTTTTTACATTTAGTTGTTGTTTTATTGTTGTTTTTATTATCTGTGTGCTATTAGTTTGCCTTCACTTTCACAATCCAATTATCATTTGTACATTCATTTTATGTAACGATATTAAGGTGGAGGCTTTAAATAAGTCCACTGGATTTTCTGCCTCTTCCTGCACTGAATACTATTTGTATCTGATGTGTTTAATGCAAAAACCATAAACTAACCCTAACCGAGAGAACATCGGGACAGCGGCTCCACTGAAGATGTTTTTCATTCCAAAAATAGCTGAGAGAACAAAACATTTATGCAAAAGAACTAAAGGTTAACCAAACAAAAGCAAACTAATGGAGATAAACCAGACCTGTACTCTGAGCGCTGATATCTATTTAAAGATCTCCGTGACTATATTAGAAGTACATATCCAGGTAGGAACCATGCCTAGGCCTGAGGAGAAGTGAGCAGAAGTCAAAAGAAAAAGAGGAAGAATTGCGGACTGGATCATTTTTGTTGTGGCAGCTGTCCCAATCCCTGTCGTCAAAGAACCTCAACCTTGATGTGTAGGTCATGATTGGAGTGGCCCACTGCCACACACACACACACACACACACACACACACACACACACACACACACACACACACACACACACACACACACACACACACACACACACACACACACACACACACACACACACACACAGCTGGCATATTGCCCAGGGAACAGTCCATTGACGTCAGAGAGAGGGCTCTTGCCTCATCCCGGTCCCTCTTCTCCAAACAAACTCAAAACACTCCTCCACTGACTCTCACTCTCTTGTTTTGCTCCCTTTTCTCTCCCTCCAACCTTTTCTTTTTCTAAACAGCGGAAATAGTTGCTGGGATATGAACCATAACGAGGGGGGGGGGACAGACACTGCTGTTGAATCAATTGAAAGGTGCAGATAAAACTTGACACTAGCTGACTCTTGTCACTTTCTTTCTGGCTTTTGTTTCTCACACACTTCCACAACAGTGTTATGTAATTGAGTTGAAATCGCAGGTGCTTTTTGGTAAACAGCAGCAGGCTCTAGTTGGAGTTGTTACAAAATCCTTTCTTTGCTGCCAACATGTCGGACCGTTAAAGCCAGCATTTTCTGAGGGAGGGCCCCTTTTCATTGCTGACTTGACTAAAAAAAGGAAAAGGATGATTCATGTGGAGGATATCCACTGGATAGTTTGTGAATGTGAACTTATATTAATTGCAGCCATGATGGTCCTTATCTCTGTAATATAAGCTGGTATTAAATCCATTCTGCTGAGACATGCTGCTGCCTGGAGTGCCGTACTTCCACGTGTTGAATAGAAAGTTATTGTTTTTCCAAACCTGATTATGCAATAAGAAGTATTTCTTGGGGGTGATTCTACTTTTTCCATCATGATATGATGTTTGAGAGGCAGTTAAGAGACGAAACATGGCCGACTTGGGACTTCCATCAAGGAAGTTATGTTTTCTTTTGGGTTTGTTCGTTTTTTTGATTATTCAGCAGTATGAGGGGAAAACTACTGGTGCAATTTCATTCAAAATGGATGTAAGGGTGTAGAATAGGTCAAGAGAGATCCCATTAAGTTGTCGGACGGATCCAAAATGAAGGGGCAGATAGACGCATTATTTTTTACTTTTCTTAAAGGGGCCCTTATTATGCTCACCTGCAGGTTGATAGTAGTATTTAGTGCCTCTACTGTGACATGTCTCCATGCTTTAATGTTCAAAAAGATCTTTATTGTTCTCATACTGCCTGCGCTGCAGCACCTCTTTTCACCCTCTGTCTGGTGTCAACATGCCCTTTTAGTTCACATCACATTTTGTAAGAATGGGACTGTTTGGTATAAACTTCCAATGGATATGGAAATATTCAACATTGTAAAAACACAACTAACTGAATAATCAAGCCAGAGCGACCAAATATTGGAGAGCTGAATATTTGCTACTGTGGGAAAAAGAAAAAAAATCTCGAGATGGCTGCATTTTTGGTAACTGTCGGATCCTGTTTTGTAGCTGTTGGTGATTTTACCATTGTTGCACCCATAAATAACGGCAATTATTTGAGTTGGTTACGATGCGCCTTTGAGCCAATATTACATAACCGTCTTCTCGCTCAAGTTTATTCTTGCTTAATCACCTATTCCTGCGTTTGGAATAGAGGAATACAAAAGGTTTGGATTAATGTTGGCAACCACTTAAAAGGTTGAAAAGGTTTTACTGCCAAACTTATCCCAGAGACAATCACACGTCAAGGCGTTTTTCTTCTTGATTTTGGTGGAAGAAAAAAACTGTTACCACGGCTCTGGCTAACACCCAAAGGGAAAGTCTTTGGTATTTCAGGTGAGTGACTAAAATCATTTTGGAGTTCAGAGTTTCTTACTTGACATTAAAAGTAATAGAAATGTAAAATGGTGCAGAGGATTTCAGCGAACTGACCTTTACAAGCTTTGCAGAACTCAGAGTGACCCCAGTTAGCTGAACTACCACCATCCTCTGAGTCTTTCCAGAGCAACAACTTTAACTTGTCACTGAAGTTAATTAAACACCTAAAGCTAGGGCTGTGCAGGAAAATTGAAGCTTTAAAGCTCCATCATAATCTGCTAGCGTTTAGCCTTTTACAAACAACATTTTCACTGTTTTCTAAAAACGTTTTGCTGTCATGCTTGCCACACACAAAGGCAGGAACGCACCTTCATTCATTTATGTAACCAAAATAAGTAAAACTCCATCCATCGAAGGGCTGATCCACCGAATAAAGAATAAAAAACTAATGGCATTCTGGGATAAAACCACAGCAGTGAGAGAAAAGCTGGCCAACATTAGCTGGCCAGCAGGATAAATCCTGCTACCTACTTGTTGGATAAATGGCCCCCCACTGAGCCACCATGTGAGCCGGATTTTTATTCTTATTAAATATAAGAACACTTTCAGAAGCAGGCATGAGGCAATCATGTATTGAGTTTTTATTATCCAATTGGAATGCATGCTGCAAATGTCTTAATTAACATGGACCTACATTGAGTGGTCTGTAATTGGAGACACTGAATTAGCGAAGAAATCCTGTTTCACACACGCACAAGAACATTGAAGCATGGAATGTTCACAATAATTATAGAATCCCTTTTATGATTTATTAAATCCTGAATAATAAACAAAACAGAGAGATGTTCTGTTTATGACCAAAATCTTATTGTGATTATATAGTAGGGGGAAAAAGCATAGTGAATCAAATACAGTTTCTATTTTTTAATCCACAATGCAAAGTCATTAGTCAGTTGGTTGCCTGGAAAAAAGCATTAACACAATTTAATGTGTCGTGAAATAACCTGCTTTACACTTAAGCTGAACTTAATTAGTGGTAGTCACCAACAACACCAAGATAATGGGGCTAAATCCTACAGGAATTACAACATGCGTACACACACACACACACACACACACACACACACACACACACACACACACACACACACACACACACACACACACACACACACACACACACACACACACCTTGTTGATGATGTGCTGCTGCTGTTGGAACTGTTGTTTGTGTTTCTCCAGGAACTGCTGGTGTTGCTGCTGGACGACCAGCTGCTGCAGGGCCTGGGCCTGTCCACACTGCTGCTGGGGCAGGGGGGCCGACTGGGTCCTCCCGAGGGGGCGGTGGCCCCGCGCAAGTTTGGAGACAGAAGGCGACATTAGCTGGAGGCCAGCAAGACCCACTGTGGTAAACACAGAAGAATATTATTACCTGTTTTGTAATGATCTGAGTCTAATTTCTGTAATTGATTCCATTATTCAACATTATTCACTCTGAAAACAATACATTTTCTAAAAATCTACGGTTGCTAACAAGAATAAAAACAACTTAATGTAAATGTGTACTTAAGTTGTCACTTATTTTGAGAATGTTACTTGAGACTGATAATCTGTGAAAAAAATCATGTTCTTTTATGTCCTCCTATTAAAATAATACAAAAATAATAAAGAACAATCTATTTTGCTTAAGGAATATATATATTTTTTAAGTTCAATACTTACATTTTCAATAAGATAACACAAAACGAAGACCTACATTTTAGACAAGACATTCTGAAGACCACGGCACAAAAACAGACACTGACACAAAAAAACCTAACAAACTAATTAAGAATATATTTTAACACATGATAACATTAAGAAGTTCCAAGTTACTGTTTTTGAGGTTTTACAGCCTTGTTAACAAAAGAAGGAGCTAATCAAGCAAAATTATACTGACAGTTATATACTGTCATATTACAAAGATTAATTGTATGTACATCCATTATTCAAATTAAGTTTCAAAATCCCTCATAATAGTTAACACAGAGAAGTGTATATCATGATATCATAATAATACAAACGAGACAGCAGCCGCTAAGAAGTTAAGAATATAAATGTTGCAATGGATACTGACCCATTGAATTGTGGCTCTGCTCCAGCAGCACCATGTGTTGGAGGAGGGGGTTGTGACCAGCCGTGCCCCCTCCGGCCCCCTCCCTGTCCAGAGCCGAGGATGCCAAGTAGGAGGGCAGGTGGGCAGTGGGCAGGAATGGAGGGGTCAGACCAATGCTCTGCTGTAACGCAGGCAGTGCCAGACGACTGTCACCATCTTGGTGTCCTGACACCACCTACAAGGACAGAAAGAGAGAATGAGACACAAGGAGGGAGAAGCAAAGACCAGGCAAGCGCAGAGAGGCAGATGGACGGAGACAAAGAAGGGTCAAATGAGACAGAATGGGAGTGAGATGGAGAAAGAGAGGCGGACATGTGAGGCACCTTCATGCCAAAAATAATTGATACGAGCTGTTTCGCAAACAAAATATTATTTTGTGCAGTGAGTGATTCTACAGAAGCCTTGAGACGCGAGTGAAAAGTAGTATATTGTGGTGATATGTTTTGTTTATCTGAACTAAATAGTATTCTTTTGAGTTTATGACTTAAAGTTGAAAAAGGAGGTTAACTAGCATCATTTTCTAGACTCATGAACATTTGTGAACATAAGTGTTTGTTGTTGAAGGTCTCATTTTGGCCACAAGAGGATAACAAAAAATGTGTACTTTATACAATGAACACTTTTAGTTATTTTAACGTTTTTAATAATAATATTGTATGATAACTTCTGGCAGGTGACACTATATTTTCTTTTGTCAGAAGCATTTGTTGTTGTAGTACCCATTTTGGCCACAGGGGGCAAGTTTTATACATCAAACTGTTGAAATTGATCCTGCAAAATAAATTCACCTGCTAAACTTTTTATTTCCTGCTTTTATTTAATCAAACACAGAAACAAAAACTATTATTATTTATTTACATTTGTTCACTTCAATGTTGTAATATGCAAGTATTGTTTTGTGCATTGAATGTACTCACAGAGCTAGCAGGCAGTCCCAAGGTGATGTTGGGAAGAGAAGGGGAGGTGTAGAGAGAGAGATGGCTAACTGAACCATCCCGTGCTGCCAACCTCTGAAGCAGAGAGACCTGAAAACACACAACCACACAGCATTACAGCACATTATAAGAGTGTTTGTACACACACAAACATGCACAGTTGTCCATTAAAAAGACAGACATAGCCAATTTACTTCGGGATTCGTCCGGTCAAACTGTCTGGCCCATTCACACAAACACCAAAAGACACACACATGCACACTCTGGCAGTGATGTTTGTTACCTCTCCTGGGCAGCTGGAGATGGTGACCCCGTTCTCATTGGGGATGTTACTGGAGCTGTTGTTGGGGGAGCTGGGACCTGAGCCGGGTGCACTGTTGCATGCAGACTCTGGAACACACAGCACAAACATTAGATTTGTCTAATATCCTGGCCTTTAAAAAGCTGAGTTTTCTGAGATTAAATAGCAATATGTTATTCGTTGATCTTATTTTTAATAGCCTTTTGGGTGTATTTCTACTACTTACATCCAAAACTTCCCTGAAATGAATCATGACAGTATTTATCTTCATTTATATGACACTTTTTGGAATGAATAAGCCATCAAAGGTCCAAATTCTGAAATTCAGTCATTGATAGTCTTAATATTGGCAATAATGGTGATATTAAAACCTTTTTTTAGTCTACAATAGTACTGGGATGATCAGATTCGCAACAGAAGGAATCCAGCAACCAGAATGCTTACCGGCCACGTCTAGGGAACGCTTCTTGGCAGTAGTGATGGGACCATCTTTCCTTCGGAGTAACGGGCTGCTGCGGCGCTCTGTCACTTTCTGCTTTAGCCGGGAACGAAGCTTGAGGTTGGGCTCAGAGGCTGACGGGAAAAAGAGATGGAGAATTCATTTTATAGGTGAAGACGTTTCCGTACAGGGTAGGACAAAAAGAAGTTGAGGCATTCTTAACATCGACAAAGGTTACGTTTTCAGTACGATTTGTTGGTTTGTTTGTTAGCATGAATATGGGAAAAAACTGAAAAAGCCCTATTTTCATAAAACCTTGATGAAGGAAGAACCCATTATATTTTAGATCATATCAGATGAATGGGGCTGATACAAGCATTATTTTTCACTTATAAATGCACCTACCAAGGTTTTCCCCACCAAGTTGAAGGCCAGCCGGCTGACAGCCAACTGACAGCCAATTCCCATCTAAATCTCAGACTGATAGTCAGCCACCCTCCTAAAGTTTCCTGGCCATGTCTGTCTACATTCCACCGTTAAAACGCCTATTCATTAATTTGCATGTTTCATTTTGAGATTTTCCTTCACGAAAAAACGGAAATCCGCAAATGTCAGCGCAAGGGATTTCTAGCATATAACTAAGCAGAGCTAAGCAATGGCAGGGTTAAATATTACATTCCTAACTGGGCCACCCATTCTAATAATATGAATGAGTTACACCCAAAATTAGCCCTGTAAATGTGTAAATTACAGATTCTCTCTAAAGTGTCGCTCGGGGCACAGCGCTTCGTGGTAGATTGCTGTGGCCTACAAGTGGGAGCTTGTTCAGTGGCACGTAGTGGAGCTAACAAGCTCGTCCCTATAGGCCACACTGTATGTGTTGGCCGACAGATCCGTGAGCAGAGGTTTGCCATCATCGAGTGACAGAGGGAAACGCTGCGACAAGAGTGGACGCAGCCAACTGGCAGCTTTCTTGACCCCACGCTTAATGATGCTCTCTCCACGCTCTGCCAGGGAACACTGCTTGTTTCCAGACACTTTCAATTACTGCCACTGCCTGTTGTCATGTGTGTTTGTATGCATACGTGTTAGCCCAGTTGTATTTTTCTGGGGGCTGTGTATCCTTTTTTGGATTTGCAGTGAAGCTGTTGGCCACAAACGGGTAGAATAGAGAAGAGCCAAGCATTCAGTATACTGTATTCTGGGAATCTGGTCGGGTCAGGAATAGGACCTGACCTCTTCTGGACAATCTTGCTTTAGTGTCCCTCTGCCAGATTACCCCAGACACGGGCTGCTTTATTCCCTCCTCCGCTGGCTTCCTTCCGTTCAATTAGATGAGGGATGGATGGTTAACCAACAGTTGACCCCATGCTCATCCCACGACCTTGTATCAAAAAGACCACGCTACGTTAGCCTCAGAGAAGGAGCTGGCATTTTTTGGTAGAGGCAAGGGGAAGCAATTGATTCTTCATTGTGTACTGAAGTGATTTATTATTAGAAGTCTTATTCAAGGTCATTAAAAACCCTTCATGTACAGTAGCCTTGAACACTTATCAAGGTAGGATGAGTTGTATTCTACTTCAAGCACTCAGTACACCACCTGGTTGGTGGGGATAAGATGACCTATTGTGAATTCATAATGTCAAAGTACTTTTTCAAATGCACTTTCAATTTTTAGGGGAACATGCCGTTGAACTTATCAAACTCGATTATTTAAAAAATGCATTCTCCTTAGTGAAGGGCACTCTTCCAAAGTCTTTGTTAAGAGGAGGTGGAGAGGGTCAGGATAAGATGCTATGCACTAACTAAACAAGAGACATTTGAAGGGGAAGACTTTGAGAGAAGCAGCATAGTGCTCTCAAGTTTAATTGTAGTCTATCGCACTGGGAATTATATTAATGTAGCAAAATAATTCGGTGTTTAATTTAACTTTAATTGATGCATGCACATCTTGTGATTGTTGGTATTTGCTGTAGAAACGAGTGGTTGTTTGTGAAGCCAATAATTCAACATCATTTGAAAGCGTGTTGGAAGAGCATATACGTGGGGCTGAAAATACAGCTTATATTAGGTGATCGTGAACAAAACCACAATTAACAAAGTTAAAGAGGAATTTGAATGATGGTACCATTTGAATTAGTTTTGACTGTATAGATATTTAGATAGACAATAAACATGTATTGTATACTCGATAATGTTTCCGATACATCCCTAATTCTTACTATGCTTATTCCATTAAGGTCTTGTTGTTGGAATTGCCACCGTCAAACGCGCTAAAGGATAAACAAACATTTGCAATGCTTAAAAATATTACCCTGGTGTGAAAGGAAACATTATTAGCCTCCACTGTGAAGACAGTGGGGCTGCAAAGGTGACAAAAACTGTGGTCAATCTGGTGGGAAGCCAGAGGAGGAACGATAAGGCACCCCAGGATAATGGAATAGAGGAAGGGGGGGTGGTCAAGGTTGTGTTTGTGTGTCCTGAGTCATTAAGAAATGGACAGTTAAAAGGAGGAGTGGATAAATGGAAGGTTAGAGGGAGGTTAGGAGGACAGTAAAGGAAGGAGGTGTGTGTGTTTGCTGGGCACTGGTCGCCATGGGGTGTTCGCCTCAGGACGCAGTGACTTTGAAGGGTGTTAGTGCCGACTGGGCAAAAGCACACCAGTGTGCACACGTGCGAACACACTCGCTGCAGAGGGCCCAGACTGGTTTTACTGCTGATGCTAGCGTTTTACTGCAGCCCTTTCTCCCTCCTTCGACTCCATCTACCCCCCTCCCCTCCCTTTAAATCCCCACTCCTCTCTTTCCTCTGGCATAGCTCCCCGTTCCCTTCACTGCAGAGCCTTTGTGCAGTTCCTTTTTTTAATGCATTCTAGTAGAAACCATTGGTGAAGGTTAACAACAAGCCTTATTAGTCTACTTACAAGATTGACGGCCCAGAAAATTGCAATTCTAAACAGAATTTACCAAAGAATGTCCAACTTCCTGCCACATTCGGAGACTGATTTTGGGTGGGTTTGTAAACTTGGAGCACTTTTTTAGTATCTGCCATTCAAATATTCAGAAGGGCTAACTCTCTGAGTGGCAAAACTTACTCTGGGCTCTTCCTCCGAGTAGTAGCAGTGGAGCGCCAAGCTCAGTGATTGTGCTAAAGTTGCCAGTGATTGTGCTAAAGTTTGGCCAAAATGATAACAAATATTAGCTAAATAACAAGCTTACATTTCCTAAAACTACAGCATACATTTTCAAGTTGATGTTTACAGGGATATTGTGGAAGGCATCACATTGCATCATAATCAACTATTATGATGTTATCTGTAGATTTCATTTCATGTATTTAAACTCTGCCGTCCGTTAATCTAAGGAGGAATACAACGCCTCGATTTTAAGCAACAAGACTCATTTTAGTGAAGAGTGTCAGGATGGTTTTTGAACGAACCCTTAACATACCCTTTTGTCAGTGTCTTTTGAAGCAAGGAAATTAAATAATACACTCCTGAAACCAAGGTAGCATTGTATATTTTTTGATATTCTAACTTGGATTCCGAAAGTGACCTGAACTAATTCATCCAACTACAAAGACAAAGTGCCATTTCTCTAAACCTGATTTACCTCTACATGTTATCTCATATTTCAAATATGCGCTCAAGAGGTTGAAGGGTTCTCTCTGATCCACTCTCACACTTTAAAACTATAAAGTGAAGTCCCTTCTGCTACCCATCTTATGACATATCAATACGAGATTAAACGTCTCTGTAAGTGGTGCTTAATATTTCAATCGGGAGTGGAGGAGGAAGCTGGTTCTCTCCGATACAAAACATATTGATCAGGCGCTCATCTGTTTTGACAGATGGGAGTCCCGGGCTTCATGCTGGGGGAAGCCGTGCTGCTCTTCCAAGTAAGGGCAGAAAGGGAGGGAGATTTATGGAAATCAATAGAGTAGTTTGCCGAAACTCATCAGTGGAGCTTCCCAGAAATATCACGTTGATGATGCATTAGATAGACAGGTTGGATGGACATAGGTAGACAGATACATAAAGGGGCGGCTGAGATCAGGAGGTAACACAGTGGTCCACCAATCAGAACGTCTGTCCGGAGGGCATAGCCAATGGACTGTTAGGGTTCATCTCTCCTGATGAGCAGATGACAGCTTGTATACAAGTTTCTGCCTTTGTATAAAAATGTGAAAGTGTGAATGTTGTGAAAGTGTTTTGAGTGGTATATATAACATGAAAACAGTCTACTTACCATGTACCAACATATAGATAAGTATGGTGGATACATATATAACGTTTATTTTTTTATCGGTTTACACTTAAATGATTGGTTAAAAATGATGTTGTGTTTAAAAAGGTCTAATCCCTAGTTATTTCTGAAAGACATTTATCTTCGAATTCAGAAAGAAATGTTATGTTAGGTTTTTGATTTGTTTTATTCGTCTGTTTGTCATCCGGAATACAGGAACAATTGATAGCCATGGAGATGAACTTGAAGGAAGGGTGTAGCAGCATTCACCACAGAAGAATCCAATACATTTTAGAGAATATCTAAAAGAAAGGGCGTACACACATATTTTGTCTCTTTCTTTAACATTGCATTATAGAGTGCCACAGTGACGCGAACTACAGCAGGGTCGCTGCTTCAACGCCACGCCAACTTAAGATCCATATTCAAAACTACAGATTCAAAATTGTACAAGTTGAAGCGTTTGTTTTAACAGTTTGCAGGAGGCAAGTACTTGCTTTCAAGCAGAACACGGGGAAAAACAAACTTAGCGGGAGTGTTTACGTGTTCGGTGTAATGACGTAAAACGGCCTCGACAACTTCTGAAGCCCTATTCAGCCACATGTTAACAACCATCGTTTTTCAGACACGTAAACTCTTCAAAAATCACCAGTGGGGTCACTGCTGATGTGTTTAACGTCGTAGAACAAAACATGTGTTTCAACCACAGACCTTATTTCAAGCTATTTTTGAAAATACTATGGAGAAATTCCATTGTTTTTTGTCGAAGGAACCGGAAGTGGTAAAAATGCTAACTTACTTCCGGGTTTTAGGACGCGTCACTGTGACACTCTATTAGAGGTCTTATATAAGGTCTGTGCTCTCCAAGTGTACTTCTATGAAATTTGAGCCAAGATGTTGTAGTGTTTCTTGAGTCTGATACAGATCATTGTGCTCTGGATCAGATAAATAACATGGAAGTGCTATATTGTATGTGGATATCCTGCAGGGTCTACATTTTCAGTGTGTTATGGGAATGTGTGTGTGTGACAGTTTGTGAAAGAGTAAGGGACAAAAGGGGTCAGCATGACAATTCTGCTTCTGTCATGAAGGCCTAACAGACTTCCTGCCTCAGCATTCCAAGTGGCCCTCTGTGTTCCTCAATTATCACAGAGCCTCTTAGACTTGGACAATGAACCCTGTTGTAAAATACTATGTGTGCGCCTGGTCTCGCCTCGGAACGTACATTTAGAATGTACATGCCTACATTCGAAAAATGGGTCACCGCAGGCAAAAACGTCATGTGTGACAGCTCTGATCGTCACGGTGGCGAACAACTGTGCTGACTACTGTCACTCACTTCCTCTTGAACACAGTTCATCTCTGTCTGCGAGTCTAATCTGATCTGCAGTATGGCTGCTCACTGTTGACACAACAGTTCCTCAACAGCCGGGCCAGATGCGTGCACATGTCAGAATTCCCTCTCTGTCTCTCGACTGACGTAAAAAAGATGAACGCTGCATTCAAATCTCAATCCGTATTTTTACATTCTTACATTTTTTAGTGTCAATACCTCAACAGAAAAACACAATGAAAAACAGGGAATCATTTTTCAGTTAAACCATTATCAGAAAACCTTTTTGTTTTCTTTTTTCTTTGGTTTTGAAAATGACAAATCTAAGAATACATGGACTAAACCTTGAATTATATTTCTTCATGTATGCACAATGATATGCAGTTCTAGTGTACTTGTTGTACTTGGTGGTAATTGTACAATTTGTGAATATTTCTCAGCACCACATCCCTAGAAATTCCTGATCTACATTCAAGTGTCCCTGAAAGTGAATCTTGCCGTCTGACGCTGTGTGCCAGTATAAATCCTTCTTCCTCCTTCCAGCTCGCGGCAGGTGTGCAGGAGTGCAGAGTACACAGAGCTCGGCCTCCAGCTGTGAAAGCAGGCAGTGATACTGCCAAGGCAGCTGCTGACGCTAAGTGAACAATCACAGCCTGGCCATACTTGACTTGGACAGAAGGACGAAGAAATAACAGTGTGATGCATCCAAAAGGCAAGAACTTGGCTTTTATGGGCTTTCTAGGACACTTTGCAGAGTAGTTATGGGTTATTTTGTCAAACGGTTTGATGTAGAATATTAAGTCTGTGATGGAGTGTGCTTGACGTGTCAATATCAAAAACAGGAGAATAGCCAACTGGTTTTGAAATACATTTAGTTTTACCAGAATATCTAAACCTCACGAAGGAGCAAATGGCTTAATAGAAGTAGGAAAGTCATAACAGTTTCCACATCAATTTACGGTAAGACCTTAAAACCAGATTTTTTTTTAGTTGGGAGATATTTTAGGACTGTTTCTTGGCTGTAACAAGTCCGCTTCTTGCCTGACAGCTGGTCATGGCAAAGAAATAGTCTGGCTAACAACCCTTGTGAAATGGTCTGATTGTCATTTATACTCTTTGTTTTTTTGGCAGTAATTAGAAGAAAACTGATGTAATGTGCGAGGTGAGCTTTAAGGGTGCTAGCAGGTTAAAAAAAAAATGTTTTCTGCTTCCTGTCTTTATGCTAAGCTAATCTAACTGGCACACAGATATAAAAGTAGATGTTTTATCTAACTTTCATCAGAAAAGCAAACGTTTCCCTGATATGTTAAAGAATCCCAATTTCTTTAACTGGTTTTAGGTTTTCATTTGTATTTAGTTTGACTTTGCATATCCTCTCTCTCTCATTTACATTAGAAAAAGACCCTCAAAAGACCTCATTAAATAACTTTTGATACCACATATTTTTCACTATTTTAGGGCTTCCCTATAATCCTCCAGTAGCTGACCCCTGGTCCATGTGCCTGACTCTGAAACCCAACAAGTCATTTAAATTGCTAATGCAGGGAAAATGAAGATGATGACTCCCCTCTAGACATGCAGTGGGTGGCTGGTTTTAATACATGGAGAAATATGGATTTAAGAAAGTAACCATAACACAAAAAAAGAAAAAAACCTTGGCAGCATTGTGTACCTGTTTTGCGGAGAGGGAAGTCGTCTTTTGAGTCGTATGTGCCCAGCATTGGGTGGCAGTAGGCTGACAATGCAGTTTGGGGAGGAGAGCTCTGGTCCAAAGAGCTGTGCTGGGTTTTTCTATAAAAGAAAAGAAACACGTATTGAATAAAGCAGTATATATGTGTGCTTACCAGGCTGTACTTTACCTGATTTTCCATTGAGACGTACACAAAAGGTGTTCCAGCTCCTTCCACAAGGTTAACAGAGAGTGCACAACAATGTGGGTGGAATGGAGAAAGAGACAAAGAGCAGAGAAAAGGGACAGAGGCCGACTTTCTTCTGAGAGGGAGGTGAAAAACGAACAGAGAAGGGAAGAGATTCAGGAGAGGAAAGACGGAAGTACATGTATGGAAGAAGTGAAGACAAACATGGAAAGAAATGGAGAAATGGTGCCGCTGGTGACAGTGATGGAAAAGCCTTTTTCTCGCTGATGGCACAATTGTTCTATCATCTCCTGCCTTGGCAGATATATTTGACTGCTTAAAGCCTCTTCAAATATTTAATACGCATGAGAGGTGCCATTGCCTTTTCTCTCAGCCCACTTCACACACACACACACACACACACACACACACACACACACACACACACACACCTCAAAGAGAGCCAGCTGTCAATCACTGTCTACACGCATGGATGGGGGGAAAACAAAAGTATTTCCTTCACCGTTTCTTGGTAGATTCCAGGCAAGGATATGCTGTTCTTTGTTGTGGCTTTTTTATTCTTGATATTTTCTCAGTTTGAAATTGTTTTCTATCTTAAATAAGAATGTCAAAAACTAAAAGGCTTAATAAATAAATCAACAAAATAATACTGGCTGATATTTAAAAGAGCGGCAATAAAAGGTTTCAAAATGTTTTCTTTTAAACCAGAAAAAGAATACCGTAATCATGAAGTCACATTTAAAGGTCACGAAAAAATAGTATAAATAAGACAAAAAAAAGAACAGAAGCTTGTCAATCATTTTTAAAGGGATATCACAAGCACAAAATGACCAGCTGTATATCAGTTAATCCCCATTGTTTCCATGAATTCTGAAGTTTTTCTCGCATGCCTCCACAATGAAAATAAAACACAAAAATGGAGTATGAATTTAACTAAATGGCCCTGTTTTACTTTAACTACCACCGTTCTAATGTATTCAGTCCTATGCTGATTACTTCCCAAAACACATGCATTAAAAAAAGAAATAGTTCCTTATAAACACTAGTGCGTGCGATGAGAACTTAACTGCGATAAGTGTTTTAGCAGAAATATGTTTCTTTTAAATTCCAGAATTTCTCTCGTTTTTGTATTCGCATGCCAGAAATTCAGTTTTCTTTAGGAATGTAACGTAATAAATGGTGATTGTTTATTATACAAATGATTACCTTGAGGTTGAACTATTCCTTTAAGTCTAAAAGTATTCCATAGATATGAACTGAGTTGTTGTTCAGACTCTCTAAAGATAATGTTATCTTGCAATCGAAAGGATCCACCTTTATTATTTAAAGGGGCCCTATTATGCTTCACTTAAAACAGCACTATGTAAAACTCGCGCTATTATTGGCTAACGCTCCAACATATCTGGATGTGGAGGGGATATCTCTGAATGGTTGACCAATCACAACAGAGCCGGCCAGCTAACCAATCAGAGCAGACTGGGCTCTGGTTTCAGACAGAGGGTGAAAAGAGGTGCTGCAGGCAGTATGAGAAGATCAAAGAGCTTTTTGAACATTAAAGCATGGAGATATGTCACAAGCAAAAAATACAAATATTAACCTGAACATTTGCATAATATATCCTATTTCAGGTTGTAAGATGACATGATGAGTGGATTTAGGTTGAGGGTTAGTGTTATGGAAACACTTCTTCATTCACAACCAGTCACAATCCCAAGTCATGGGTGTTCCAGCGGTGGGGGGCTTTGACACTTACCCATACCAAAAGCGCGGGTCTCCGGGCATACAGTGGTTCAGGCTGCGCTGAGCCAGGGCTTTCTTTTTGTTCAGGACAAACTCCTGAAGTCGCATCTTCACCTCTGTACTAGCGACTGCACCTGAGAGGAAACACAGAAAGACATCGGCAACTCAGTTAACAAAGGGAAGTATAGTTTTTTTTATTTATTACCTCATAAAAAAAACATTTGAGTATTACATTTCTTGAGACATTTGGGCTTTGGTGCCTTTGTATCCAATCTGGGACACTAACGTAAAGATTATAACAACATCCATCCATATTTGGACAGATAATGGAGTTTGTAGCTGCATGCAGAAGTCTTCCCTTAAAGTCCACAGAGAGTGACTGTGACTTGCTTTGAAGAAGTTTCAATCAGCTCGCGGTCCCTTCTCAATTACCACCCTCGTTTCACGGCAACAAACAAATTGTCAAGGGAGGGAGATGTGAAAGCGAAAGAGAGAAGAAGTGAGTGTAATAAAGAGTCCGAAATAAGAGGTGTTCTGAGAATACATGTGTGTTTATCTATGAGTGTGACAGTGGGAGGAATAACAGGTGATGTGTCAGGCTTGAGGGAGAAAGTGGTAAATATAGTATGTGTACGCGACAACTGCTAATATATGCTCTCTGAATCATGGTGCAGCTCAAAGTGCTGACATCTCAATATGTCCGCATTGCCACTGGAGGAAATTGGCTTTTATGAGACTGCCTTCCATGCAATTTATTGCAGTACTTAACAAAGCTTCCTCTGTTTACAACCCAATGCTCTTTCCATGGACGTGAAACGGCAGGCTCACTTTGCAAAGCACAGAATGGTTGCGGAGAAGAGCTTCACTGGCAGGAAATGATTGTGGTGGGTATACCATTAAGTATATTTAAATGGATTTATGCTGTTGAAAAAGCACATTGCCTGTCCCAAAAAACACCACCAGAGCATTTTAATCCCATTATTTCACAATGAAAAACGGTTTATTGACTAAATAACTGTACTACTTTAACAAAAAAAATATCTCTCTTTTTATAGCAGGGATGTGAACTTTATAACTATTATTATTACATTAAGAGGAGTTCAATCTCCATTTAAAGCATGTTTGTAAGTCCTTTATTAAGTGGATACAGCTACTTAGTAACACATTTGGTAGGACAAGTTGATTTAAATGACACCTTTCCACAGCTAGTCAATAGAATGTGTTTAACATATAGCGATTAGTCTCTTATGTAGCCTTCTTCAGTATGTATGCAGTAAAAGAACAATTACAGGAGAAAGAAAATCAATTGGCTCGACCCAGCTTGAAGATCGGCTACATCAATTAGCTCCTGCCTGAAACATTTTTGAATTTTGTCACGGCTGATTATTTGAACATTAATATTTGGTCAGGCAAAATGAGAGCATTATGCAGCAGGATCAGTGTGACTCCTGACAGCAAAGAGACTACCAGTATCAAATACTAAAGTTAAATAACAGAAAATGACTTTGGTTTTCGAGGCATTAGTTCTTTTGGTCATGATCGCTTTTACACAACAAAATATTCACTGAGGTCTGGGGTTGTGGCAACAACATTTGCTATATTTGCGAATACACAGTGTTTCAATATTATATCCAAAAAGTGATTTACACAATCTGGCTAAACTATTGGTTTGTTTAAAGGAGTCTGGTCATCCGACAGCATGTGTTTCTCACTATTTGTAGCAAATGTGTAATTGCTTGCTGAAGAAAAACAACTTTTGATATCATGGTTCTATTTTAGGGGCTTCTTTTACCTCTCAAGTTGTTGACTCCTGGTTCATGTGCCTGACTTTGAAACCCAATAAGCTATTTTGTTTCCTTAACGAAATGACACATATTGTACGAGGAAGTGTGTGCCACTTGAACGTCTTGCTGGAAACCGTTTTTCCCTTGTTGTTCTGATACTCCCCGTGGTAAGTGTGCGAGGTCAGGCTGCTCTGACTGGGACAGGTGCTGAGACAGAGAGGCCAAGTCTCTGTGACACCTGCTGTGATAATATGAGCACAGTTACAGCAGATGTTGGCAGCATTCAAGAGATGGAAAGGGAATTTATAATGGGTCAAACATGAATGCTTTATTTCCAGCTTGAACCCAAGTGATAGGAAAAAAAGTAATAACTGGTCACTTTATATTTGATTCTGTAAAACGTCCTCTTGATAAACTACTGCTTCTAGCCAACTCGAAACCTTTTAATCCCATCGTAGTTCAACTTTTAGATTCAGTTACTTACTTTCCTGTCCCCTCTCCTTGTTTTTCAGCAGCAGGAGTTTGTGTTCCCGCTGCTTCTTCTCTATCTCCTGCTCGTGACGCTGCTGCTCCATCTTCCTCTGGTGCTCCAGCAGCTCCTGTTGGTGCTTAAGGGCCAGGAGGTCCTGTTGGTGCTGGTGGAGAGAGACACAAGACTATAGAAGGGGACAAAGTACAAGGAGACAGAGAAGATGGGTAAAGGACTATACAGAGGATGAGCAACGTTATCAAAACTGGAAGACTTTGGGCCTCATGCAGAAAACGATTTACAAAAGCATGCCTTCTTATTACTGTTTATGTTATCCATGATTTGTTTCTACTGTTTTAGCTCTGATTTCTGGGCTTTGCCAAAGTCTTCGGGATAATTCTTACCAAGTTAGTGGGAAAACATGTTCAGATGCAAAGAACAGGTTGAACATTGAACAACGTAATGGTCATATAAACACATTTGGATTATTATGTGTTTATGAGTCGTTATAATGAATGGATTCAGAGTTATTTGTAAAATATAGAGTAGGGATAGGATTTGGTCCACTAATACCAATATTAAACGATAATTTGGAGCATGATATTGGACTAAAATGCCACTACTGGTTTGTTTAAAGAGGCCCTATTCTGCTTTTTGGTGTTATCCCTTTCCTATGGTGTGTTATATGTCTTTCTGTGCATGTAAATGGTCTGCAAAGGCTATAGTCCCAAAGTTCCCTCCAGATGGAGTTTTCTCTCCCACCTGCCTGAAACACCTCCATGGGTCTTTGTTTACTTCTCTCACAATTCATTTCAAACCTTTATTTAGACAGATTGGTCCCTTGAGATCATCGATCTCATTTACAAGGGAGACCTGCATCATTTAGTTCCACATGAAACATAAAAACGACATACAAACAAACAACAGAGGATATCATATTTACATATTCAACATTTACAAATACCCAGAGTGTCAGAAAGCATTTCATTTATACGTGCCTTAAATACATTCAGAGAAATACAAATGCTCAATTTCAATTTTGCCTGTAGACTGTTCCAAGCAAGTGGAGCTGCGCACATAAAAGCTGTCTTACCTAAGACAGTCCTTACTCTTGGCACATCTAACAAGACTATATCCTGCGATCGCAGACAATAGCTGCTTGCAACTTTCTGCTTTATCAATGAACAGATATAATACGGGAGTTTGCCCAACATAGCTTTATAGATAAAAGTGTACCAGTGACTGAGCCTCCGTACAGTGAGTGATGGTAAACCTGCCTTGGTATACAGTGTACAGTGATGAGTAAGTGCTTTACAATTTGTGACAAATCTCAGAGCACTATGATACGCAGCATCTAGTTTGCTCAGGTAGTTGGCAGGTGCATTCATATACATCAGATCACCATAGTCCAGCACAGGTAAAAAGGTCACAGTGACTAGCCTTTTCCTGCCCTCAAGCGAGAAACAGGACTTATTCCTGAAAAAGAAACCTAGCCTAACCCTCAGTTTTTTAAGCAGGTTATTGACATGAAGTTTAAGAGAGAGACAGTCATCAAGCCAGATACCAAGGTATTTTTAACAGGCAACAACTTCAAGTTTTGTTCCTTGCGTAGATACAATATCTAAAACAGGCTCTGGTGTCTTTTTAGCTTTTGAAAAGATCATTATCTTGGTTTTATCCACATTAAAGAAGCTTTAGTCAGAGAGTGAGTCTGAATAATGTTTAAAAAAGCCTGTAATTTACACCGCCTCCCTGAATGGAGGACCTGCACAAGTTACATCACGTATCGTCCGCATAGAATTAAAAGTAGCTTCATCCACATTTCAACCAAAACTGTTGATATATATTTGAGAATAAAAGTGGACCTAAAAACAGACCTTGAGGAACACATTAGCAAGTTAACCACTCAGAAGAAGCCCATCAAAAGGTGAACACATTGGGACCTTTCAGAGAGGGGTAGTTCACAAAACCACCCCACTGCATGCTGATATTGCCAATACTGAGTAGGCCTCGTTTTAACGCGATGATCAAACGGTGTCAAACGCTTTGTAAGTCAATAACCAAGAGCTGCACACTCGTTTATTATCTAGGCATACTAGTACTATTCATTTACCACTTTCATTTTGCAGTATGGTGGCTATGTTTCTTCCTCAGAAGCCTGACTGAGTTTAGGACAGGGATTTATTCATTTATACATAAAATCTTTACTGTTCACCTCAAAAGTCGTTGAGCACCTTTAGCCATTAACTGACAATTAGGATGGCTATAGTTATTTAATAGTTGCCTCCCCTCCTTAGTAAG